CTCATTCTTGTTTGGTTAGATTTCATTAAGAGAAAATAAAATAAATTATTTTATGTTATATTATTAAAATAACCTTTTTATATTTTCAATCATTTTATTTCTTTTATTTTTATAGGGACAAAATTGGTATTATGAAAATAGTAGTTTCTTTTCTCTCTCAATCTCTCCACTTTTGGGAAGATTGAAAATGAGGCTCATAAGAGAAATGAGTTTCTCTCTATTTCTCTCCATTTCTTCACATTTCTCTCCACTTAGGTTATCCAAACAAGTAAGAGAAATACATATGTCTCCATTTCTTTTCTTTTCTCTCCAAATCACTCAATCCAAACATAGCGTTAGAGAAACCACACCTCAGGCCAAATACTTGGGCTTACCTTTGTTCTGGGGCCGCTCAAAAACTGAAGCATATAAGTTTATTATCGAGAAAGTTCTCCAAAAACTTTAAAGTTGGAAGCTTCATTTGCTATCCCCGGCAGGGAGGGAAACTTTGATTAAAGCGGTGGTCCAAGCAATCCCCTCCTATGTGATGGCTTGTTTCGCTTTTCCAAAGTACTTCTGTGCAAAATTGAATTCCCTTATTTGCAATTTTTGGTGGGGTGGTGATCCAAAGGGTAGGGCATACACTGGGCAAGTTGGGACAAATTGGCACTATCGAAGGCTTTAGGTGGCTTGGGATTTCGAGATTTCCATGCTTTCAATCTCACTCTTTTGACCCGGCAAGGCTGGAGATTATTGAAATTTCCTCACTCTTACTGTGCCCGTATTATGAAAGGAATTTACTTTCCCCACTCAAACTTTATGCAAGCTACTCGGGGTAGGCGTGCTTCTTGGGCCTGGGCTAGTTTGCTTCAAGGCCGGACTTTGCTTCAGCAAAGATTGAGGAGTCAAGTGTATAGTGGTGCTACAACCCGTTTCTGGGAAGACAAATGGATTCCATCTTTGCCTCATTTTAAGGTCACCTCCCCCAGACCAGTAGATACAAATGTGGATTTAGTGGCTGATGTTATTGATGAGGTCTCCAAGACCTGGAAAATTGATTATTTAAGGAACCTAATCACTAAACACGAAGTCCAAGCTATTTTCTCCATACCCATTTCCCTAACCCCAAAAGATGATTCCCAAATCTGGCACTTGGAGTCAAACGTCATCTACTCAGTAAAATCAGGGTATCACTACTCACTTGATCTGCTTCTCAAAGCCCTCAACAAACCCTCATCCTCCTTTCAAGCCCCTAGCAATATCTGGAAGCTTATTTGGGCTTTGAAGGTCCCTCCCCAAGTTTCGACACTTTCGGTGGAGGGCAACAATGCATTGGCTACCAAAGCCAACCTGTGGAAGTGCCGCTATGCTCCATCTCCTTTATGCCCTCTTTGCCACAAGGCACCCGAAACTGTTGAGCACTTATTGTTCGGTTGTGAATGGGTAGCTCTAGTCTGGTTTGGAAGTGATCTAAATTATAGAGTTAATTGGAGGGCCATCCACTCTGCCTTGAGGTGGATCAGTGAGCTTATGTTTCAGTTCAAGCATGGGGAAGATAGGGATTATTTTTTTAGTAAAACTGTGTGGATTGGTTGGTTTATCTGGAAGACTCGAAATGAATTCGTCTTTAACCATCAGATAGTGGAGCCCTCGACTTTGCATCGAGCTCGAGCGACTGAACTAGAATTTTCTGAAGCTTGCATGAAGACAACCCGGAGTGGAAGCAGTCTCATAGGGATGCAAAGGCTTTCACATAGCTGGTACCCTCCCTCCCCTCCCCTCCCCTCCCCTCCTGGAGTCTTTAAAATCATTTGTGATGTAGCTACAACACAACACTCCACTATTGCTGCCGTGGCTGTTGTTTTTTGGGACTCACAAGGGAGACTGCTAGATGGCTTGACAAAGAGAGTCCATGTGTCTTCCCCTTTCCAAGGAGAAGCTCTAGCATGTCGGTTGGCTTGCCTCCTAGCCACCGCTTGCAATCTATCTGAAGGGGAAATTGAAGGGATAATAAAAGGGTCATCCTGCTCAGTGTTTCAAAATCGGATCTTCCATGGGAATGTGAGGTTGTTATTCGCGATATTAGAAGCATGACTTGCCAAGGCAAGTTCAAACTTGCTTGGTGCCCCAGATCAGCAAATTCAGTGGCCCACTGGGTGGCAAAAGCTTCTCTTCGAAATCTACTGCCAGTCGACTGGATTTCTAACCCTCCACCTAACCCTGCTAGTCTCTGTGGTGTTTCTGCACCCTTTCCTTAATGTTTGTTTCCTTATTTTCTCTCGTTCAAAAAAAAAAAAAAATGCACAACAATTGAAATAGGGCAGTTAATAAGTGGTTGAGTTCATAATCTATGAATTACACAAACTTGTGAATGTTCAGAGTACATATGAATGTTTGGAACATGACAACAACTACATTACATTGACTGTTGATTAATATGATAGTCACCAAATCAATTGAATCCCTCCAAATCTAAAATAAAAAAATTAATACCTGATTCAGTCAAATTATACATACAATAACCAATTTACATGATAATGTGGTGTTATCCATTTTTTTTAACCTCTAGGTTTGCACTTGCGACTTATTTATATTGTTGGTGTAGTTTTGAACAAGTTCCTTCTCAATGTCTTCTACAGTAGGGGGAAAAAAAATGGATATGTAACATTGTTTCAATTTTCAACTGAATATTGACAATATTATTGATTTAGGATACAACTGAATATTGACAATATTATTGATTTAGGATGTCACGTGCATAGAATGTGATAATTGGTGGAGGGGAATTATACTTTATATCTAGAAGACGCATAAGCACTTTGTAACCAATTTTTGAGACAATAAACATTGATTGATTGAGATCTTCTCTCTAAATTCCCTTTACATTTTCTCTCTTGTTCTTGATTGGACTTTTCATCATTTGGTATCAGAGCAAAGATTTTGATCCTACCATGGAATTCACGTTTCTGATTTGACCCTTTGTTGTTGCTTGAAAGTTGGCTTCACAGATTCACGTACCTGATTTCCATGACTGAATCTTCATCTGGGTTCATCGCTGGAAGTTCGTCTCAAAAACCCTAGTGGTTTGACTTGATATCTAGACAATCAAGTTCGCAAGTTGGTCTTGGGTCTTCCTCGCGACTTGATTTGAGTAGACAGCTTGCAATTTGATCCGATACTGAAGTGCGACTTTGTGATTTGAGTCTGCCTTTGATTGCGACAGTTTGGGTCTTGATTTCAAAACAATCGACTTCGCTAATATCCTAATTTCACCAATCGAAATCAGAACTAGGGTTGTTCTCTTGAGTTGAAATCTTACCTGGGTCATTCTCTAAGGTCATCACGAGTGTGGTGCTGAGTTCGAAGGGGACTTCTGATCATCACGACTCCAGTTGTTCTCTGAGTTATTCTTGCTCGACTTTGATTCTAGTGTCACAGGAAATTTGATCATCCCTTTCCATCTCTTGGACTATTTTGAATCAATTATAGAGAACTGCTTCAAAATTGATTCTTGATTTCAGATTCCTGTATATCATTTTGGATTTCTTCTTGTTGAATTGATTCTTGAAACTCTATTTTGGTTTTGGTTTTGGTTTTGGTTTTGGTTTGATTCTTGAAACTCTATTCTAGTTTTGGTTTATATTTGGAAATTGGAATTTGATTGTTTTGAATATACAGTGTGATTCTTGAACTTTGTTTGGGCTGTGACTACCGTGACTTTGAACATTTGGGGAATTTCAATGGCTAATCAGGGTCGAGGTCGTAGGGGCGGTAGGAGCCCGGATTTGGGTAATGGGGTTCCATATCCGAGAGATAAAATGGAGAGATGAGATGGCAAATTGTCATTCCAACTGAGACGGTGCAACATCTCCTTCCTCCTCCTACCGACAGTAGTAATGGTTCCGATGATACCGAGGGTGGTACTCGTCATCCTTTTGATAATCTCTTTTGGGCACCGCAAAGGTGTCGAGCGGATGTGGGTAGGATGGAACACAAATGGGAGAACAATATCAAGATTGAGTTTCCCGACTTTCTTGGATGCCTTAATCCTGAGTCATTGATTGGCTCAACACTATCGAGGAGATCTTTGATTATGGTGAGGTTTCCAACGGAAAAAAGGTTAAGCTTGTTGCCATTCAATTAAAGGGAAGAGCTTCTACATGGTGCACTACTAGAAATATGACTTTTTGCGTTTATTTTTTTGTGACCGATTGTTTGGCCGTCGCAAAAAATCACTTTTTATACCAAAATCTCATTTTATTTAAACCCCAATCGTGTTTTTAACTTTAAAAAAAAAAAAAAAAAAAAGCGTGTAAAACTTGCCCTAGGTTTCACTCTTATTTCCCAAATCTTGATTTCGCTCTCTCTCTCTCTCTCTCTCTCTCTCTCTCTCTCGATTTCGTTTTGTTTTCTCTCTCGATCACCATGGTCATTTGAAGAAGAGACCTCCAACGGTATGATCTGTGTGTGTGTGTGTGTGTGTGTTGGTCAATTTAACTCTCTCTCAGCTACGAAGCTTTGGTTCGAATCAATCCTTTTGCTATATTTTCATATATATATATGTGTGTGTGTGTGTGTGTGTGTGTGTGTGTGTTCATTCATTGTTGAGTAACTTTGATTTATACTGAGATTCACATATCTTTCTAATCAACTTTTAATTTTCGTCTCTATATCTTTACTGTAAGTTCAATATTCATGATCAGTGATAGATTACTATGATTCTGCATGTATAGAAATTGGATTGGCATGTGCTCTGTTTTAACTTAATCGTGTTAGCATATTATATTAGCCGAAAGTGTTAGCATATTATATTAGCCGAAAGTTACACTAGGGTCTATAATCATTTTATGCCCTCAGGGATCATCTTGTAATTGCCTTTCTTGTAAACCCTAATCTTCATTTATAAATAGGGGGTGATATTCTATCATACCCTAAGCTGGTTACTCAAGCTTCATGGTATCAGAGCTACAATTTTTATTTTGCAAGGAAAGCATTTGAACAGAGGAGCACCAGTATGCATGAGTTTGAAACCAATCCAGGCATAAACTATGCCAAAGCTTGAGACATAATTGAACGATGAGAAAGCTGCTGCTCATAAAGTTCACTGAAAATATGGTATTTGGCATCATGGTACTTCTTCACTTTCGGGTCTTCAGATGGACGGACAACCTGCTCAGATCCAAGCATAAAAATCACACAAAGATGTAAAGGCACCCGGATATAAAATTGGATGCATTAGAAAACTGATTAAATGTCTGATATAAGAGTGACGGATGTCCCAACTCACGTAAGAGCAAAGTACTATTTACCGTGTATTAGAAAATTTGACAATTTTTTTTTAGCGATATCACATCAGAAAAATCTGGTAGTTGAGCTGGTATCATGCCATGCCAATGAATGCAAGTTTAACTGATCAAACCCATACAAATCATCGTTGGTGAGGAAAGTGAAGTACTGAAGAACAGTCTGCTCCCCCTGAAGTGAGCTCTCAATAGAGCGGCGCAACTCAAATGCCTGTGAAAAATTTCTTTTGCGGGAATAGGTAACAGCCACAGCCTCCCAAATGTCCTGGGCAGTCTCCATAGACAAGTAGCCCTTACCAAGTTCTGGAACCATCGAATGGATAAGCCAACTCATAATCAAAGAGTTGGTGATCTCCCATTGGTCATAACCTGAGTCAGTGGTACTAGGTTATGACCAATGGGAGATTACCAACTCTTTGATTATGAGTTGGCTTATCCATTCGATGGTTCCAGAACTTGGTGAGGGCTACTTGTCTATGGAGACTGCCCAGGACGTTTAGGAGGCTGTGGCTGTTACCTATTCCCGCAAAGGAAATTTTTCACAGGCATTTGAGTTGCGCCGCTTTATTGAGAGCTCACTTCAGGGGGAGCAGACTGTTCTTCAGTACTTCACTTTCCTCACCAACGGCTGGAAACGCCTTGACCACCTGGAAGACTATAAGCCCGTTTGCCCTACTGATTCTGTCAGGTACAAGAAGTTCATCGTACGGGAACGGGTCTTTAAATTTTTGGCCGGCCTAAATGTGGAGTATGATCCAGTTAGGGGTCGAGTTCTGAGTATGGACACTCTTCCTTCACTTCAGGAGGCATTTGCCTATGTACAAAATGAGGAGAGTCGCCGGTCTGCTATGCTGTCCCCTGTCTCTACTGACCGTTCTGCATTACTATCTACTCCTCGAGATGGCCTCAGCCTGCCTCCTCCGTCTGCTGCTAAGGAGTCTGTATTCTGTGATTATTGCAAGAAGCCGCGGCATACTCGTGAGACGTGTTGGAAGCTTCATAGGACTCCATCCGGGGGTCGAGGTGATCGGTCTGGTTCTCGAGGAGGTCGGTCAGGCCAATCTAGAGGACGTGGTTCCTATTCCCGGGCTCATCAGTCTAGTGCCGTTGATACCCTTGATTCTAATTCTACTTCTGTTACCCAAGCTTCTGATACTGAGCTGGAGGATGCTTTGCGCCAATTGTTGGACCGCCGATCTTCTACTGCTCTCAGTACCGCTTCCTCGTCCTTTGCCCGCTCAGGTAACTTAGCATCTTCTCCTTGTGCTTTCCTGTGTCATACATCTTTGCATTAGATTATTGATTCTGGTGCCTCAGATCATATGTCTGGCTCCTCTGATCTTTTCTCTGTCTATAAGCCCTCTTCAGGTCAGGACAAAGTTAGGATTGCCGATGGTACTATTTCTTCTATTTCTGGAAAAGGTTTAGTCCAAGTCACTCCTACCATACATCTATCTTCTGTTTAATTTTGATTTCAAGCTCTCTACAGTTTTCAAATTTCAATTTAGTTTGATGAAGCTTAGAAGTAATTTAGATCTTGAATTAAATGATGAATTACTTGTTACTGATATCCTTCTCGTTTTTGAATTTGAATTCGATTCATATAGCTAAATGCATAGAGTACTGAATATTAACATGCATAGGAAATACACAAAAAAATTAATTTGTTCATCAGTTTTTTAATTGGATCAATATTGGCTTGTATTTTCTTATCTCAGTTGATACATTCGTGAGTGCTTTGCACGCTCTTCTCCGTCTTTCCCTCCGCACTCAATAGGGCGACTTTTTATTTGGATCAATTTCTTCTGCTAGGTAAAATTTACTGCTACAGTTCGATTTGGTCTCAAACTGATATTTAGTTCGATTTACTTTTTCTCTGCTCTGCTTGAGGCTTTATTATGTAAAGAAAGATTTAGAAATTGAGTACTCTGTGTTTTGATCTATTCCCCCATCATAATGTGTTCCGTTTTGTAGGTTTGATTGCTTGTTATTGAAGTAGTTGCTATGAATCTGAATTTGTGTTTGAATAACCATTGTTGGGTGTTTTAATGATTTTGAAATTGAAACCCCAAGTAGTGGATTTTTTTGGATTTTGGTCAATTCTGGAGATTAGTATTGCTTGATTTTGCTTTGTTTTGTGTTGGAAAATTTTAGGCCGTGATTGGATGCTCTGAATTAGAAATTGGGATTGGCATGGTTGTCTAATGCATTCTTGATTGGCAAAAATATCACCTTTTGCTAGAAAAAAAAAAGAAAGAAATATTACCGGAATTTTTATACAAAATATATAAGTCACATTGTTCGGTCTTTACTTTTAAAATGAGCTGCCACATTATTCTAGATCATACAAAAGTGGATATTGGATCCAACTAAGCTACAAAAGTGGAAATTTTGGGTTCCATACCACCAAAAAAAAAAAAAGAAAAAGAAAAAAAAAGAGGTAAGGCATCAATAGTGTATTAGGGTCATATTGTGTATTAAATTAAAGTCAGTTCCAGATTCCAACGGTGAGTAACACAATGAAAACCGCTTGGTATTTGGAAATCTCTTTTGTTTTTTATATCCTGGTTTAATATTACTAATCAATGGCTGAAATTTTTTAGAACCCAAATACAAAGATAAGAGATAATTATTGGGCATGGTTTCGAAATCTTTTTTGTTTTTGGTAGTATAGAAAAGTCCTGGATAATAGAGTGACATACCGATAGTGTATGTTAATGTGTGACTCTGGCTTGACTTGTTTGTTTGCATAACAGCAGAACCTAACATAATGACTTGTTTGTTTGTTTGTTTGTTTTGTTCTAATACAGACTATATATAGGATGATTCTTTACTTGAACAACATTTTTCAACTATTAAATAAAAGTAGGCATACACATTCATGGGCTGCAGGTTTGATTACAATATTATTTGGATAAAACACAAGCCTAATTCCATTTATCTAGTTACTCATAATATCAATCAATCTTCTCAATATGAAATTGTGCAGTCCCAAATGTGTTTTAAAGCCTAAAATGGTAGAAAATAAATAGTTTCTGTTATGGCTTTTAATATGAAAACGGCTCTGAACATGCAATATCTTTCTTAAAACAGGATATAGGTTTTTCTGGGTACTTTGAATAATTTCTAATTTTATACATTTTGTGCTGTTCTTTTCAAAGTTTGGGGTTATGCACCAGTTCTCATGTTTTCTATCACTGTGGTGAGAGACTCATAGGACTAACAATGAAGTTGGTAACAAATACCTTGTACAATGGTGAACATTAGCATTGTAGATCTTGGCATTACTAGCATTCTATCTAGATTATGTTTTTGTCATAAAAGAACTTTTTCCAGGTTTTTAGCAGTAATAACTTTTACATATGACTCCAATTTTGAGATTCAAATGGAATGTTTAATTAAACTATAATGTTATACTGTCTAAATTCTTATCATTGCTATTCCTAGAATGCTTTTTCCAGGTTTTTAGCTGTAATAACTTTTACATATGGCTCCAATTTTGAGACTCAAATGGAATGTCTAATTAAACTATAATGTTATACTATCTGAATTCTTATCATTGCTATTCCTAGAATGCTTAATGTTACACTTTTTTTTCTTTTCTTTTTTTTGCGACGATAATAAGATAATCACCAAAAAACATGTTAGCATTTTTCTTTTTTTTGGCGACGGCAAAATAGCGGTCGGCATAAGTAGTTTAGTTGGTTGCAAATAATTTGCGACTATTGCTTTGCCTTCACAAAAAGTATCTGCCACCCCTACATTCGTGACCCCCATTTATCGTCGCATGGACCGTCGCAAAATGTCTTTTGTGACTGTGTTTTTATTATTTGCGATGGCTTGTAGCGGTCGCAAAAAGTGTTTTTTTTAGTAGTGGCGGGAACAACTTCAACTTAATCGTCGTCGATGTGACAAGGAGAAAATCCATGTTTACCTTCAAAGTGTCTACCAAGCACTTCATGTTCTCAAGCAAGTTGGAGGTGTGGGCGAGTATACAGAATCTTTCTATCAACTCATTGCTAGGGTTGATTTAAATGAGAGTGAAGAACAACGGGTGGCTCGTTATGTGAGTGGCTTGAAACCTTCAATCCAAGATATTCTTGCCTTGCATACATTGTGTAATGTTTCCAAAGCCTACAATCGAGCTTTAGTCGTGGAAAAGAAACAAAGCCGTCGTGCTTCCCAGATGGGATAATACTTCCAAGGAGGATTTCGAGGTGGTTTTAGGCCGGGTCCTTCTTCTAGCTTTGCCAAAACTAGCCCTCCTTCCAAGTTTATGGATAAGGGCGCTTCTTCCTCTCAAGCTCCTTGTCCTAATGGTGCTTCCGGAAACCGAAATCCACCTCAGGGTGGAACTTTCAATTGTTTCAAGTGTGGAGAACCAGGCCATAGATCTTCCGATGGGTACTAATCAGACCAAGACACGTCTTATTGAAGAAGCTAAGGAACATGGTGACTACAAGGGTGCTCCAATTTGTGACACTTAGGACAATATTGAAATTGGTGTAGATAGTGATGAAGAAGAGGGTCTTGCTCTTATGTTAAAGAAGACACTTCTATCACCAAAGCTAGAGAGCCAAGAAAATTGGTTGCGCACCAATATTTTCTTAACCACTTGCAACATTGGTGGACGTGTGTGTAACATGATCATTGATAGTGGAAGTTGTGAGAACATGGTTTCTCAAGAGATGGTGGCTAAACTCAACCTTCCGGTAGAGGACCATCCCCATCCTTATTCTTTATCTTGGTTCAAGAAAGGCAATGAGATCAAGGTAACCAAACAGTATTTGGTTTCTTTTTCTATCCGGAAGAAATATTTCAATGAGGTATGGTGTGATGTAATGCCTATGGATGCTTGTCACATTCTACTTGGGCATCCTTGGTAATATGGCCGGCAATTTTTGCATGATGGCAAACGGAACACTTACACTATTATCAATGATGATAGCCATTTTACATTGCTTCCAATAAGAAGGTTACTTCTAAGCCATCTTCTAGTTCTACCACCTTGCTTGCGTCCAAGGAGTTTTTGGAAGAAACTCGGGATTTTAGGATTATATTGGCTTTGGTTCTGGTTGTGCACACGGATGCTACTAAGGAAAAGATTGATGTGGCTACTCTTTGGAAGAG